AAATATTCTCAACGTAGAAATAGGAGTCGCCGCACTCCACGTAAGCGCTTCCTTAAGAATGCTTATTCCCCATTGAAACCTTGACCACAGTCAAGAAGTTTCTAACCTCCCTTTCGAGGGGAACTATGATTACTCTGATTCCACCTCTATCTCGGATACGTAGGCACAAGATGCGAGTCTTAGCGAGTAAACTTAGGACTAACCCTTAGGTCTCTCTTTCACTCTCCAACCCTTAGCTTAGTATATACCCTCAAGCAAATAATTAAAGCAAAATAGAAAATATTAAACAAAAGATTCCTGTACTACAGAAGTTTAGGGTGCTAATACCTTCCCTAAGCTTAACCAACCCCTTACCTAGATCTCTCCCCACATTGTTTACGATGAAAAAATTAGGTTTTCCTTCATTTGACCTTTTCCTTCGGATAAACCAAAGATCGGTTGTGAATCAAAGATTTGCGATTCAAATTAATTAATAATTTGATATCCTATTCTCACCGCAGCAGAAAATGGCGACTTCACTGGGGACCCTCCTAACTTTTAAGGGTTACCCCTACTTTGTTTGTTGTATTCTATTTACTTTATTATCTTGTTTATATGTATATATCATTGTACCTTGGTTGGGGTATCTTTATTGTGAGATAAGTCCTACACCCGGACTTGAGTGACATTATTATAGGAAGGTGATATATTCGATGAGGCTTATAGGGAGTGAGTCCTGACCAAGCTAACTTGAGAATCACCGCTCAATTGAGACCCTCCCGCAAAATAGTTCGGTTGAACGAGTATAGTCGTGAAAACCCTTACTATTTTCGGCTAGGAGTCCATGATATTGGGGACCGTAGTACCTTAACACCACATTGGCCTTATTTAGGACTTAGTGCGATGACTATGAGGGAGTAGTCCCAAAATAATTGTGACGCAAAACTACATTCAAAAGAGGTTCTCTTGAGAATATTATCAACCACCGAGTCAGTCGGAAAATTGATAATATCCGAAAGATGGACTGATGACTTTGGGAACTTCTTTAGAACCCTTGTTCTTCAGGTACAACTAACATTAGTACATACTCTATGGGGATGGGTAGACCTTAACTCCACTCATTATACCTTTAACCTAGGACCTTGTGTATATTTGTGCATTGCATCCATAAAGCATCACATTGCATTACATTTCATGGAGTTCAAACTTCATTTATGAACATTGCAGGATACTATGGATTACAATAGGAAAAATACTGTGAAATATTCTTTTAAGGGTCTTAAGTTGGATGACCTAAGGAAGTTAGGAGCTTTAGCTCAAGATCAAGAAGGATTCAGAAACAAGTATGAAAGGCTTTTATCCTTGTTGAAACTTCAAGCAGACAGAGGACTTCTCTCTACTTCGTTACAATTCTAGGATCCGGATTTTACATTCCCAGAGTATTCGCTCTTGCCTAGCTTAGAAGGGCACTCTCACCTTGCTTGGTTTTAATGGACGATTTATTTTCCTCCGACCCTCAATCTACCTTTTGAAGATAGGATCACCCTCAAAACGGCCCAACTAGAATAACCGAGCAAGGAGCAGAACAGGAAGCTTCCTTAGGGTCATTATTAGCTTTTATTTAGCTATTATGTCAAGACTTTTCTTTTAAGAATATGTACTTGTAATCCATTTTCAATAAATAAATTTTTGCTTTGGTATTCCGCGATATTCATAAAATTTGAATTTCATGAAATCTTTCATTCGCATTTTAGCATCATATTTTTGCATTGCATGTGCCTCCCGGTTTCTCATTCTCAGTTCTATCGCCTTCCAGTTCTGTCACTCTGGGTCCTCCGTATCAGTACAACACTAGAGCCCAAGCTTGGAAAAGGATGGAAGAACAAGCTCAAGAGATCGACCGTGTCACCCATGAAATCGAAGATCTTCGAGGAAGTGTGGGGCAGATTATGGAGATGATACAAGCTCTTAATGCAAAGATGGATAATCAGCCCACTATTGTTACTGAGACTACTAATACTGTTGTGGGTCCTCAACCAGCTGTTACTGTCGAGAATATACCTTCTTAGGGTCGTCAATCCAGTTCGGTGCCTCCTACTATTGGTCAACCAGTTCAGCAAGGCGGTTCTCCAAGGTGCAAAAGTTCGAGCTCTGACCATCATGAAAGTGCTACACGCCGGAGGAGTCCCTCGAGCAGGTATAACCGTAAAATGGTTGCTCACAAGCCTTGGCGACATCCGACTAGTTATGTTCAAGGTTATCCGGTTCAGTATGCTCAACAACCCTATGTAGCTACTGTTGCACCTCCCTTCAATCAGCAGTTTCCTACATATCAGCCTGTGCAACCGGATCTGGTGTATCAAGCTCCAGTCTATCAACAACCTCTCGGTTATCAGCCTGTACAGACTCCTGTCAACTGTCAACGAGTGCCCAACACTCCCGCGTGCCAACCATCAGAGGAGCCGACACCTCGCCAAAACGGTCTGAATAGGAGACGGTACAAGCCTTGTCCTCCGATTTCGATGAATTTTACCGAGTTGTACCCTTCATTAGTGCAACGAGGTCTGATTACCACCCGAGCTTTGGGTCCACCTCATAATCCTTTGCCTAAAAATTACAATGTCGCCGCTCATTGTTTATTTCATGAGGGTGCGTCAGGCCATGATTTGGAGAATTGTTATGCTCTTAAGAACCTCGTCAGAGATCTGATGGAAAAGAAAATTTTGTCCAAATGTCAAGAGCAGCCCTCTGCGTAACCATGGGGCTGTTAATGCCATTGACGAATCGTCTGATGAAAAGTCTTATAACACTATATAAGAAGACTCATTCCTAACAACGATGTAGAGAGCTAGAGTTCAATATCTAGTGTGTTAGGATTTTTAATTTAAGTCTTTGTACTTGTTGTTATTTGTGCACCTATATAGCGCCTAAGTTTCATATCAAAGGCATATAGGTCGTTTGTGTAAGTCAAGCTACAATTTAATAATCATTGATTTGTTTTATGTATTGATCACTAGGTTTAGTGATTAAGAATAAGTGAGAGGGGTTCTCATATGTAAGGGGATTCCTAAATAGAAAAGCACATGTAGTATTAGGAAGAGAGACATTGAACAAGGTTTGTTCATTTAAGACTATCTGTACTAATATGTTTAACATGTCTTAGAAATTAGAATTTCAGTTGTTTATATGCTGGATTGGTTATTTTTGTATTTTTTGTTCTTACAGGTATGTTGGTTCTTCCAGATTATTTTGATAACGGTGGTACAATCCTCCTAATAGTGTTGTGTGCATTGTGTTTCAGAACTCACATATGTACATATTTATTTATTTTTTCATTCAAATAGGGTTTAGTGCTAGGGGGTGTTGGATGAGGCTGGATCATGATTTTGCTCATGAGTTGGTTTAGAGATGTCTTACTTAGTGCTCTTATTTTTTATTTGTTTTACTTTGGTTGTTTATGTGCTTGATTGACATTTTTTTAACTGTAGTGAGTGGATTGTGTTTTGAAGAAAAATTAAAATAAGGTTTAGCGCTAGTGGTGTATTGGATGAGTTTGAAAGATGTATTGTGTTTATTGTGTTTTGAAAGAAAAAAAAATCAAAATAGAGTTTAGCGCTAATGATGTATTGGAAGAGTTTGGATGATTTATTGTGTTCATTGTGTTTTGAAAAATAAAATAAAACTTCTAATGGCCCATGCAGGTCTCGAACCTGCGACCTTCGCGTTATTAGCACGACGCTCTAACCAACTGAGCTAATGGGCCAAGTGTAGGGGATTCCTAAATAGAAAAGCACATGTAGTATTAAGAAGAGAGACATTCAACAAGGTTTGTTCATTTAAGACTATCTGTACTAATATGTCTAACATGTCTTAGAAATTAGAATTTCAGTTGTTTATATGTTGGATTGATTATTTTTGTACTTTTTGTTCTTACAGGTATGTTGGTTCTTCCAGATTATTTTGATAACGGTGGTACAATCCTCCTAATAGTGTTGTGTGCATTGTGTTTCAGAACTCACATATGTACATATTTATTTATTTTTTCATTCAAATAGGGTTTAGTGCTAGGGGGTGTTGGATGAGGCTGGATCATGATTTTGCTCATGAGTTGGTTTAGAGATGTCTTACTTAGTGCTCTTATTTTTTATTTGTTTTACTTTGGTTGTTTATGTGCTTGATTGACCTATTTTTAACTGTAGTAAGTGGATTGTGTTTTGAAAAAAAATTAAAATAAGGTTTAGCGCTATTGGTGTGTTTTGAAAGAAAAAAAATCAAAATAGAGTTTAGCGCTAATGATGTATTGGAAGAGTTTGGATGATGTATTGTGTTCATTGTGTTTTGAAAAATAAAATAAAACTTCTAATGGCCCATGCTCTAACCAACTGAGCTAATGGGTCAAGTGTGATTTAATTTTATAGATAAATAATTTTAAATATTTAATTGTCAAATACAAAAACCAAACCAAATGTTGACCCGATGAGACCTTTTAATTTAAACTGATTAAAGTTAGAATCAAACTATTTATGAAATAAATAAGTATATTATTTAATAATATGGAGTTTACCATCATACACAATTATAATAAAATAAATATTTTAAAATGTAATTAAGAATTTAATACAAATTAGTGAATAAGATTAATGATAAAATTATAATTCAATGACCAATTTGAAATAAAATAAGATAAAATAATTCAAATCAAAACATACTATAAACATTATAATATCTAATACCGACTCAATTATTTGTTTGGTTCAAACGATTAAGAACGATTCAATTTTTAAAATCGGTAGGATAATTCCAATAACTTTTTATCAAGTTCCATTTTAAATTTTAAATAACCAAATTTTAGGAATGATCAATCCTAAACTTCAAGAATGACATACCAGAGACCAAAGACAAAAAAAAAGATAGAAAAGAGAAAAATGAAATAACAGCATATATTATATAGTAGCACTTTGTTATATCACATTTCTTATTCATAGAAAATAAGTGGAATACATTTCATAAGAAAAGAAACATCAATAATAATAATTATTAGGAGCAGGTGCATTAGCAGTAACAGAAGGTGGACTCGGTTTAGTGACGGATGCAGCACCGTTGCAAAATCCATGCAGAATTTCAGCTTCTTCATCAGTAAGACCCAAAGAGGTAAGCATATTGGGCCAACATTCATTCGCTATGGTGAGAAGAGCATCACAGCATCCCGATCCAAGATGTGTTTCGCCGTTGATGAAAAACTGAACAATCTCGCCAGTGCAGTGTTGAAGCTCGAACATTGTCTCCCAACATTTGTTGTTGGTTCCTGCGCCAGCAAATGAATGTAAACGTGTTGGGATGGTTTTTGCTGTTGTTAAGGTTAACGATCTTGCTGTCGCTATTGCTGACAGGGATAGGATGACGAAAAGCTTCAAAAGGAAAGACATGGTTGTGATATTGTGATATGATGGGATTAAAATGAGAAATGTGATTGTAATTTATATAGATATGTTTGACCATTAGGTTCTCTGAAGTTTTTACTGTAATTACTCCATTTGAATGACTATATAGTTTCAACATTAATATTTAATTTCAGTTAGGAAAATTAAGGTTCATCACTATAAGAGTGTAGTAAATGTAAAAATAACCTTTCACTAATTCTGTCCCTTGATTTTCTTTTTTCTTTTTTCTCATTTCCAGCAAAAATTATCATTTATCACATCTAATATTAACTTCATCAGATTTTCTGTATGATTTTTGTTTTAATTATCAGAATTTGATCTCGTAAATGTTTGAAGAGATATCTGTTGCAGTCTATAATACAATTATGCAACCATACTTACCGTACGAATATTACTGAATTTTATTTTATTTATAAACTAAAGGGTTGCATTAAAAGGAGGAGCACGAGGGTAGACGGAAAGCCACCGAAACAGTTCAAAGTTTTATTTTAATATGTAGATATAGATATTGTCACATTTATAGGTGTAGGTATAGATGTGTTTCTCGCAAAATTTTAGGTTGGAATTTCACTAGGTACTAATAACAATTTTTGTGGAAGATTAGTTCATATAAAATTATGATTGGTTTTAAATAATCATGTAAGTTGAGGGTGTGATTTTGTGATATAATTTAAGTTGTGTAGTTTAAGATTAAAAATAGTTAAAGTTAGGGTTTGTTATATTTGTTAGTTAGTAGTCAAGTCGTTTAGTTGTATATAAATAGATATTTTATAATTTAGTTTGTACAATTATAATTCAATAATATTAACATTTAAGAATCAAAACTCCATTTTGGTCCAAAACGCGCAATACTTTGTTTTTCATGCGAATTGTGTAATTACTTTCAAGTGATTGACCAATGCTTAAAAGGTTACACTTAATTCCAGGAATGTACAAAACGACCTTGATCAAGGAATGACCACCATCCCTCCTCATGATCAAGACATCACCGACACCGTCGGCCGCCAAAGTCGTATTATCCGCGAATCTCACTCTACTTCGCGTGGCTTGATTGATCTTCACGAACCAATCTTTTCTACCCGTCATATGCGTCGAACAACCAGAATCCAAGTACCACTCATCACTACCTTGGACTTCATCTCGAACCATTACTAATGCGTTTTTCTCCGAACGCATTTTCTGCAATTTTTCTGCACTGCAGTAGTTGCTGTCCAGCAACTTTCTACTGTTGTCCATGTCATTATTCTCCTCCGTAATCACCACAAGAAGTGTGTTATCATCATCCACTTCTTGCCTAGCAACCTTCGCTTCATCCACATCACTCTCCTTGCGCTTGAAACGACAATCTCTTGAGAAATGTCCAAGTTTTTGACAATTGTAACATCTCTTGGTACTTTTATCGAGCGGCTTGAACTTGCCTTGACTACCATCCTTGGAGGTTCCTTCTCCTCTTTGTCCTCTTGAATTTTGTGGATCTTTTCCACCAAAATTCTAGAAATTCTTCTTATCTCTAGAAGACCATTTCTCTTTCGATCTCTTATTCTTCTCATTGAAACGAGCTTGCAAAGCCACTTCCTTTTGCCTTACCGTTTCCTCTTTCATCCATCCTTTGTTCATGAGCTTCCAATGAACTTTGTAGTTCATCCTTCGTCATGGTCTTGAGATCCCTCGATTCTTCAATCGCAACAACAATGTTGTCGAATCTTGTCGTTAAAGAACGCAACACCTTCGACACAATGTTTTCCTCCGAAACCGACTCACCGCAAGCCTTCATTTGATTCACCAAACGCGTCACACGCGTTATGTAATTGGTGACCGTTTCCTTCTCTTCCATTTAGAGTAATTCAAACTGCCTCTTGTGAGTTTGTAATCTCACAACCTTCGCTTTGTCTGCCCCTGCATAAGCCTTCTCAAGAATTCCCCATGCTTGCTTTGCCGAGTCACAATCGCCAACTTTCTCAAAGTTGTCATTATCGACGCAAGAATGTATCAAGAAGAGGGCTTTGTAGTCTTTCTTCTTCTCTTCTTTGTGAGTAGCTTGCTGGGCTGCAGTAGCCTCTTCAACAAGAGGAGTAACACCGATGGTAATCACATCAAGCACATCTTGATAACCGAACAAGACTTTCATTTGCTTGCACCATTTGTCGTAGTTCTGCGAATCAAGAATTGGAAGGTTGGTGGGTATTTTATCATTTGAAACAGACATGATTGCAGCGGAATAGGATCAAAACCAGGCTGTTGATGTCAAATGTTGGAACAAGCACAAAAGCTTGTATGTGAATCAATGGAGGTGATGGATAATTTTGGTGAAATTGGAGGATTGGGGAAGATGAAGTTTAGATAGAATAGAGATTAATTCAGAGAGTAAAAAACTCATATGGCATTAACACATTCAACATGTTACAAAATGTATATATAGTGCTTACTAACACTAAACAAAGTAACAAATAAAAGCTAAACAAAACAGCCTAAAAACAGAAGTATTTTTCTGATTTTTTCTGCAGCATTCTAGTAGCTTTTCAAACAGCTTATCTATTTAAGCTGTTTCTTCAAACCAACTTCTGAGCTTTATTCTCTTACATTTATTTTACTCAAATATTAACAACTTCAACTCACAAATTCATCTCCCATACCAATAAAATTATTAGTACATCAAAAAAACAGAATACATAACAACAGAAAGCAAAGCCACAATATACATGATTTACGAAACAATCTTGTAAGCTCTAGTTTTATCTACCCAATTCATGAGCGAATTCTTGCTAGTTTTAAATCCCAAAAACCCATGCTCTTTGGCCTTATTCATACTATCTACAACATTTTCCATTTCAAAAGTAGCATCCGCAACTCATTAACTCACCAACTTCGTAGCGTCAAACTCATTCTCCTTCTTAATCTCCTTCCAAACAGGACCCTTATCCTTTAGCAATTCCGACAACCTCAAACGAGAACCGTTTTCCTTGTAACCATACTCTTGATCATCTCATACTGCTAACACCACCCTTCCATTTCCACCAAAAAAATACCATCACTTTCATTTCAAAAAAACTCCATAAGATCATATCTTTATAACACTCCCTCGCTTTTTGGAAAACACAATATAAATCAACACTTAACCGCTCTCCACTTTTGTTCTTTCTGTTATTCATTTTCAAAGACTCATCTCCCTCATATCACCATTCCATCATCACCATGAATTGATGTAAACTAAACTCTACCCACTGCAGCATAACACACTCACAAGTGGCTCTCTACTTCTTTATCATCATCTCACAAAGTCACAAAAACCATACACAGCAGTATAACACCACGACCACACTGTAACTCTCACGCTCCGACGATAACAAAACCACCGCCGTCGCGAACATGACGAGGACGACGACGCGAGAAACATAGACGAAGTTACGTGAGCAGGAGAAGAGGTGAGGTCGTGCTGCGAGAGTTTCGCCGTAGCCAGAGTGTGGAGGAACAGAGGGAGTTATACGTGAGAAAGTTGCAGGTTTTGCTTTTCTTTCTTTTTTTCCTTTTGTTTTTTTTATTATACTGTTGTTACTTATCATACATAATTTATTGTTATTATTATGACATGTGTGTAGCATATTATATTCTATGTTTATGTTTTTGTGCCATGCGTTGTGTTAGAATTTTTATTTTATTTTATTTTTCATTTGGTTATTATTACATTTTATGTTAAATGTTTGTTTTTTATTGAAAAATATTATCCGTTTATAAAATGAATAAGTGATAGATACATATAGCATCCTGAGAGAGAAAATAATTGCTTCAATCCTTTTAATATCTTTCTCTTGTTTCGTTAAACATTAGGTAACTTTTGTTTTATTTTTAAGTACTTACTAATTGTTTATATCTTTAGATTTTCTTAATTGTTATTTGTTTAATTATTTGTGTTATTGGTTTTTTTTTCTAATTTAATTTTCATGATATTTAAAAAAAAGAAGATATTTTTATCTTCTATTTTAATGCGTATGTATTTTTTAGTTTTAATTAATTGTTTAATATTAATTATAATTGTAAAAAATTGTTCAAATTATTAATTGATTTAAATATTTTCATTTAATATTGGTTAATTAAATTATTAATTAATCTTATTAAATATTAATATTAAAGTTGATTAATAACTCTTTTGTTGTCTAATTTCATGTGATGACTTGTCTGTTTCCATGTTCTAGGTATGCCCTATCTAATTAATTTTTGATGTTTTCACATGATTAATCTGTTACACGATGCTTTGCTGTGTATGTGGTTGTTTGTCTGTGAATTTTTATCACGATGCTTTGTCGTGATTGTCTGTTGATTTTATGTGCTTATGATTTCTCACGATGTTTTACCATGTTTTTTCTCCCTGTTTCTCGCGATGTTTTGCCGCGTATCTTTGTCTATTGATTACATGATATTTTTCTGTGTATTTCTGTTGATTTTTCATTTCCTGATTACCGTGATGTTTTTCCATGCGTATTCTGTGCTATCTTATTTGTCTGACCATACGTGATGCTTTTTCATGTAATGTGTCTGTGTATTCTTGCTTGCCATTTACATGATGTTTTTCCGTGTATCTGTTGCTTTTCTTTTGATCCTTGTGACCTAATCTGAGGGAAGGGACTATGTGTTGACTTATCCTCATTGTGCATGTCCCTCGTCTGTCAAAAACCTTTTCCTTTTCCTTCGTTGGCACTGCAGCGCTCCAAGCCTAATACTTACATTCGACCCCGCAACCATGATTCCTCTATCATGAGATTGCAACAACCTGTCATAAAAGGATTTGACAGAGAATAACTTAGACAAGCTATAAGGCCAAACTATAGTATCCAGGGAATCTTTGTTCAAGTCCTGTAATTCTTTCTACAACAAGCCATCATCTTCCCTAATATTAATTTCCAGCCGCCAAGACCAAACATCCTCAGTCCACACCCCCATATCTTTAACAACATCAAATTTCCTATCTGATATTCTCCATAGGCCCGGGA